AAATCAATTTTTATTTTATTGTTTTTTTTCACTGAACTAATAATAATGATACCCATTTTAATAATTAATAATATTAAGATTATTAATATTCTCCTAATTGTATATTCAATTATTTGAGTATATTTATTTTTTTGCACTGAAGGCAAGATTAAAAAAATTAATTCTATATTTAGCGTATCTTGAAACTTTTATAGATTTGAGGAGTGTTACAAATAGAATCATCGGTTAAGCTTTAAATGTCACTCGATTTAGTTTGTTTAGCTTATGGATGGATAACTTTAAACTAAAATTTACAGAGCAAATATAAAATCTCAAAAGTTGTATTTTATACATTTGCACAAGAAGAAGGTGTATATCTTCACAACTTCACATAATCTGGTCTTAAGGCTAACTAATTTGATTTTTCTTTAGATGCAATATAAACAAATTTTCACTCGTGTTGAATATTTTCTTTTAATTTGTTAATTTTAGCTAGTTACGTACAAACAAAATCATGGGCTTTTTCGCTTTTAGCCCCTACCAGGAACTATTTATATTTGGTAACCGGAAGAGTATAAAATCTATATAATTTTTGGATATAACATACATGATATATAGAGAGAGAGGGGGCTATTATTTTGAAAGCGGTTACATAATATCATGTTCCCTAAAATGAAATCATCTCTAGCCTTGAGAGATCAATTAGGAGATGCTCTTAGCAAAAGAATAACCTCTACAAAAAGTTGATGTGATTAACTTTAATTTGAAAAGTAGGTAATTAAGTATAACTCAGGGCCCCGTAACTTATTTATTAAAAGAACAGATTACTATAGTTCTGCATGATAATATACGCTACTTTTGTTTTATAGTCATTGTGATTTTTAATAATATAATGTGAGAGCAAAACTAACAATTTCTTTATCAAGTTACATGGACCATCCAATATCGTTCAAAATTTAAAAGTACTAATTTAAAATGCAAAATATTACTTTTTTTAGGTCAGAAATATAGATTAGTCGTTTTGATAAACTAAACTTTATTTTAATAAAATATCTGACTGCTAGAAAAACCACAAATAATTTCGTAATTTGTTTTCCAAAATTTCTGTTAGCATTTTAATTAGTCAGTAAGACAAGTAATTGGACTTTGTGTGGCGACCAAAGTCGCTACTAATGTCCATAAAGTCGCCGCGGAAAGTACTTCCAGCAGCGACCGATGGCAAGTATTTAGCGGCGACGAAATGGCTCACCTTTAGCGGCGAATTAGTCGCCACAAATACCTAAAAATATAATTTACAACTAATTGCGCAATGATATAAAAGTAGTCCGTTACCTATACAAAGACAATACCAAATATATTTTTCAACAAGAATAGTAGATCTATGACCATAATTAATTAATTATGAAGTAAACACTTTATAAATATATAGTAATGGTATTTATATATGTTAAAAAATGTTAAGAATAATCAAATATTTTCGAACTCCTCCTTGCCAGTAATTCCAGTATAAAATCGCCTTGTCCTTTAAATAGGAGAAAAAGGCAAAACTTCACTTAAAGGGAGATATTATAAATGGTTGTTAAACAAATCTATTTTATGATATCTTTCTTAAGAAGTGTGCAAAAATATTAAATAGGAAGTAAAAAGTATTGCATAAATTAAAATCTTTCATCTTCATTCCTCTATTTTTGTGACTATTCTTATGATACGCGCGATGCGCGTGTACCCTACATCAATAAAAATAATTTTTTTTAAAATTAACATAAAATATATTCAAAAGACATATTTGCATTATAAATATTAAATTTATTTAAAAAAATATGAGCTCCTCAAAGTGATAAATGTTAATCATATTTGAGTTTGGTTCGCTCTAGTCATTCTTCCTTTTGTTCCATTACTTGTTTCATTGTACAAAAATGTTAGGTATAACATTAAGAATAATGTATGAATGAAAGGTAATGATGTAGTTCGACTTTATATGAGCAATTTTGACTTTTTCACTTCTATCATTTCACTTTTATAAGTAAAATACTACATACAATAAATAGTATAATAGAATAATAAATAGTTACATCATAAAATCAAAGAATATAATCAACCAAGATTTGTGGCAACAAAATCTCATAAATTCTTGGTAGCAAGCCATAAAACTAAGAATATGATGGACCTCAAGTAATACTATCTATAAAGATACTTAGTAAATTTTTTGAAATCTTACTGGTACGGAAAATATTTGAGATTATTAATTGGAGAGAAAAGAGTATGAGTGAAAGTTTTTTGAAAAAAAAGAAAAACGGCGAAGCTTGAAGTTTCGGCTAAATAGAAATTAGGTGTTTATAGAACAGTTTTAATTAACTTTAAAGTCATAAATATTAGGATATAATTCACATAAAAAAAGACTTAATAAGTAATTAGTTGATTTTAAAGTGATAAATATTTGAAATATATATAAATGACTATTCCTAAATATTAAAAAATAATTAAATAAAATTTTAAATATATTAAAAATATAATTAAAGAATTATTTTGTCCAATATAACTCTATTTTTTTAAGATACACACTTTGCGCTTGTTCCCGTATCAATGAATAAATGAAAGTGTAAGTTCCTAAAATAATGAATATTAGTGAAATTTAGCTAGCTATATAAAAAAAACTAAGGAGTTGTTATTCAATGAAATGAGTGCAAGAAAAAAATAAAATAATTTAACCATAATTTCTTTAGAATATATTTTGGTCCACTATTTTATTCTTATTATTTTAAATTTGTATTTTTAATCAATTTTACTCTCTTAATGCTATATTATTTAACTAATATTCCTCTTTTATTTATTTTTTTCCACAACTAATTTGCTTGATCTTATGAAAATAAATTTATATACCAAGGAGTTTTGTTAACCAAAAAATTAATTTTACTTAGATGGTGCATTTGAAAAATAATTGGATTATATTTTTTTTTTACAAATAATTAATTCAAAAATTTAATTATTTATTTTTATTATTATAGTAACTCATTAGATTTTTATTGATTCGAATTCTTAATATGACACATCCCGAATTTTAAATATTGAATTGTAAAATAAAAAAGTTAACAATCATGTCACATTGCTAAAACAAACAAATAATTCATATAAGGTAATTCACATCTAAATTAGTTTTAAAGTAAAAAAAAAAAAAAAATCAATTAGCCCAAATAGTTTCCATGATGTTTCCCTATATTTCCTACTACCATTGAACGTGCATGTGTTGGGAGAGCTTATTAAAGCGTTTAATTAATAAATTTTAAGTTAATGTTAAAATCTTACATATTAAGAATTTAATATGGAATATTTACTGTTATATAAATAATTTAAATAAGGTAAAATATTAATTAATTTTGAACTCCTAAATATTAGGACTTCATACATAATTCAAATAAGGAACTAAGTCCTAAATATTAGGAAAATAAGTTGAATTATTATTTTGTCTAATGTGAACGTTATTTTTAAAGGGTAAAAAAGATAAATGACATCTCGCTAAAGGCCTTCGTGCTTTTAATATAGTATAGATTAGATTAATTTCTTTAACAACATATGTACGTCTCATAATGAGTGCCCTATCAATTCATATTAGTGTTACTAGCCATTTAGCCAAGACTAGTCAAAATTCTAGATACATGTATTCTTTGAAGTTTGAAACTTCAAATTTCCATGTGTCAAATTATCCCTACTTCCTTTCAACTTCTAGTCATGAGATATATTTATATAAACTCTAAATATTCTTTCCATAGACATAATTAACAACAATCAAATTTCATCTAACATACCAAGATGAATGAACTAATTTTCATTCCTTTAGCAGGATTAGGTCACCTCGTATCAGCCATCGAATTTGCTAAATTTATTCTAAATAGAGATGATAAAAATCTCTGCATTTCTGTTCTCATTATGAAACTTCCCTTAGACTATGGCGTTCAAAACTTCATTCACTCTCTCACTTCTCAACCCCGCCTAAAATTCATTAATATCTCCTTAGACGAAAAAACATCTTCTGTCTTCTTGAATAACCATGAAAGTTTCCTCTATGATTTCATCGATGGTCACAAATCAAACGTACGAGAATATGTTCAAAATATTCCCCGTCTTGCTGGTTTCGTGCTTGACATGTTTTGTACCTCGATGATTGACATAGCCAACGAATTTAACGTTCCGAGTTATATTTACTTTGCTTCAAATGCTGCTTTTCTTGGTTTATGTCTTCATTTTCAAGCTCTAAGAAATGAGCAAAATTTAGACACGTCTAAGTACATAAACTCAAAGGAATTATCAATTCCATATTTTAAAAATCCATGTCCTACTAAAGTTTTGCCTAAGCATTTATTAAATTCAAGAATTGCTTCAACATTGTTTTTTGATGGAATTCGTCGATTTAAAGAGACTAAAGGGATTATTATTAACACTTTTTTTGAGCTTGAATCTTTTTCTCTTCAGGCTTTAATGGATTCTGAGATTGTTCCAACTATTTATCCAGTTGGTCCAGTGGTTAGTTTTGCAAAAAGTGGTCATTTTCGAAATAATATGTCCGAAATTGAAAGTATTATCGAGTGGTTAGATGAGCAACCGGATTTATCTGTAGTGTTTTTGTGCTTTGGTAGTATGGGAAGTTTTGAGGCAGAGCAAATCAAAGCAATAGCAACTGCACTGGAACATTTCGGTCACAGGTACCCTTAGTTGTAAACTTGTAATTTGTCCTCCCTCTGTGTTAGTTTACGCGTATTTTCACAAATTTCACGAGGTGCCTGTTATCTCTTATTAGAGTTGTCAATACGAGCCGGCCGAACCAGACATAGCCCAGCCCATGCGGGCTTTGGCATTTGATGGGTTGTTTCAACGGGCCTTTAAACAGTCGGCCCAACCTAGCCCTACGTGGGTCATGAGCCCCATGAACCGGCCCATTATTTTTTAAAACTATTTTTCATATTTTTTAAAATTTATATTTTATATATATATATATACATCCAAAATTATTCCAATAGATGACAATTAAACACAAAAAATAAGGACAATATTTCATTTAATAAATGTTAATACTCAATACAAACTACTCAAAAAAAATTCAAGGTGTTCATGACATATCCAACACCAACAGATCATCTTCATCAAACACATATGAATCCTCTTGTAAAACAAATATGTCTTAACATTTTTATTTTCATCTAAATATATAATTATATGCAATGATAATTATTTAAATATTAATAAATAACTAAGTTTTAAGAACAAAAAGTTTTTATATTTGCATGAAAAATATTACCAGTTTGAGATTAGACAACTCTTCTTGTTATTTTTAGTTCTCAATATTTTTTTTTATATTTTTAATTAAATACTTTATTAAGCTCACGGGTCGACCCAGTCCAGCCTCGAACAGCTTGATGGGTCACATGCTTACTTGAGTCGGGCTTAAAAGCCTCGTTTTTAAATGGGCTTCAAAAGTTTTAGCCCAATCGTATTAAATCATGGGCTAGGTTGGGCAATATATACTTATTATCTCTTTTAAGGAAAATTGTTTTCACGCCTCATAACCTTTCTTTAATTTTATTTTATTTTATTTTTATGTTCAAACAGGTTCTTGTGGTCTTTAAGAAGATCTCCACCAAAGGGAAAAACAGATATGCCAAGCAATTACACCAATTTTGAAGAAGTTTTGGCAAAAGGGTTTTTGGAAAGAACAAAAGGAATTGGAAAAGTGATAGGATGGGCACCACAAGTAACAATATTATCTCATAAATCAATAGGAGGATTTGTGTCGCATTGTGGATGGAATTCTATATTGGAAAGTGTATATTTTGGTGTGCCAATTGCAACTTGGCCACTCTATGCAGAACAACAAATGAATGCATTTTTATTGGTTAAAGAATTGGGAATTGCTGAGGAGATTAGGATGGATTATGTTATTGATTTTGAGGGGAAAAATAATAAAGTTGATATTGTGAGTGCTGAAGAAATTGAAGAGGGTTTACAAAGATTGATGGTAAAAAGTGAAGAGAATGAAGTGAGGAAAAAAATAAAGGAAATGAAGGAGAAAAGCAGAGTGGCTATGGTGGATGGTGGATCATCTTATAACTCTCTTGGACTTCTAATTAATGGTGTACTTACAAATATTTCTTAATAATAATAGTGTATCAGTTGTATACAAGTTGGAGTCTGTTATATGAATGAATTCGGGGTCTTAATGCATAAAATAACAACAACAAAGAGATGGTATTTGAGTAGATATGCACTGTTATTGGGTGGAGTTGATCCATCTATTTTGAAAATGGATTGTATTTATGTGCGCTATAGTTATATAGATGTTTACATTATCAATGTAACCGATTAGAGCAAGAATGAATATGCTATATTTTTTTTATGTTAACAAGATAGTTATCTATTGTTGTAGATCGTTCTAACTTGATGATTTATAAAATTACACTCGTGTAAAATTTAAATCTTTTAAAAAATACTATCCAAGATAGCTCCTTTGTGAACATCGTTAGTATTTTTCAAAGCGAAGAGGCCAAAGTAACTGAAAAATATGTTGTATAATAAATAACTAATGTTTTTTTAATTACATTGTTTAAAATTCTAATTTCGTAATTATTAACTATACAAATAAGAAAGACAAATCTTTCATAAAACATTAAGGAGAAAAATGGACTTGGAAAAAATATCTCGATATCTTACTACAAAATGCATATTAGATAAGCTCAATAACCAAAATATTGAACTTGGCTCTTTCAAAACCTTGCTAACATGAATAATAATAGAATAAACAACACGACCATAATAACAATTATAATATCAAATGAATAAGACTTTTCCTCAATCGTAGGTCAATTTATCCTTCGTAATATTCACAAAATAGAGTTTTTTTCATCCTTTAATCAAAGTTCTCAAACTTGAGGTTTAAATTTAAAAAGAAAAAATTTATATGCCCGTTAGTGGCTCTTCCTAAAACATTTTGTGTTAATTTTGGATTCAAATCCTTCTTTGCAGATATAACTACAACTTCCCTCAAACTTTGTGGGCTGAAAATGCAATTTACTTAGTCAAACTGTTGTCAACATATTCTGTTCAGAGTTCACTTGTTCAGACTTACAGAGCCGAGGTTTGCCGGAGAAAATGCCAACGCCGGCGAGTGAGGTGCCGAGGATCAAGCTAGGCTCACAAGGCAGTCTCTAGAATTGGGCTGGGCTGTAGGAGTATGTCACCTAATCATGGCCCGCCCAAACCCGAACCCGAAATGTTCAAGCTCATCCAACACGCCATTGATAACGGCGTCACCTTCCTCGACACCTCCGATCAATATGGACCCCACACCAATGAACTTCTCATCGGCAAGGTAAAAATAAAATGTAGCAATTGGTGCTTGAATGTGTTGTACCTTCTGAATTAAATTTTGTACCTTTCTGCTTTTTCAGTATGCTTCTATAATTATACTTTTAAAATTAATTCTGCTAAGTTAATTTTGAAGTTGAAAGCTATAAACTTCGACCAACATATTTTATTTTGGTGATAAGTGAATTCGCCCAACAAAATATTTATTTTTTTCTTCTTATTTTGCAATGTTGCAAGAATTAGTTATTTGATAGTTTTTTTAATCCATTTTTATTTAGTTTATATTGTTTTCCTAAAATTATGGAAATTCCTTTTTGTTCTAGATATTAACAACTATTTCTGGAATTTGAAATCTAATACTCACTCCATCCCATTTTATATGATGCACTTTGACTTTTACTTGTAGTCTAAGATACTGTGTGGCTATAATCATCTCACTAAGCGTACAATGAGAAGTCTAAAGATAAATTATTTCTAAATATAGAATAGCAACGTAAAAAAAAAATGCATCACACAAATTGGGACAAATGGAGCAAACACTTTATCCAGCTTTAATTTTAATATATTTACCTAATTGAAGCTAGCGTTTGGCCATAGATGTCAAATTTATTTTGAAAAATCTGATTTGGGTGAAGTTTGATTTGAAGATGAAATTGTATTTGGACATGTTATTTGAGAACATATTTCATGTGTATGGAGAAGAAAATGTGAAGTTTGGCCCAAATTCAGCTTTTTTGAGGAATTTGAGATTTGAAATTTTATTTCAAAATAAATTTCAAATGTATGCTCAAATTTATGGCCAAACATTAATTTGAAAATAAATTTCAAATTAAACTTCAAGCTATCTATGGCCAAACAGGGGCGAAGTTTCAAGATAGAGAAGAGAAAGAGTTTATGAGTCATATTCTGACTTGCCAAAGCAACAAAAAGTTGTAACATACTATACTAGCAGGGATGTTAAATATGTGCATGCCAAATTTGATATGTTTAGGCAATCAAAGGAATGAGAGAAAGAGTACAAATAGCTTCCAAGTTTGGCATAAGTTTCAAAGATGGGAAAATGGACATTTGTGGTGAACCAGAATATGTAAGAGCTTGTTGTGAAGCTAGCTTGAAGCGACTGGACATCGACTGCATCGATCTTTATTATGTTCATCGTATTGATATCCGATTGCCTATTGAAATCACGGTTTGACATCTTACTTCCAATCATTTATTCATTTATTATTTTTGAGGAGTTCTAGCAAATAATTGGATTTTATAATATGTGTAAAGAAATATGTAACCAGTCAATCACTTGGAAAAATTATCCTCCATCTTGATTATGCGTTTGTTATTGAGCTTTGCTGGAAACAGCAAAATATTTTCTACTCTCTTTTTAGAAAGCGCAGTGATTGATTCAACTGTGTGGGAAATGGTCCTGAGCTATTTTATTTGCATGCACTTTTCTTATTACCATGTTGATATTTTTCATGAAGATCTTCTGATGCATTGTTTGCATTGTCAGTCCACAAGACAAAAGTCAGAGTTGGACTTTTGTTTGACTAACAGTACAGACAAAGTGGGGTACAAAAAGGTGGAATTTTGAAGTCTATGCTATGTGTTTTGCACAAATTCTTCGAGGATAGGCCAATACCTTGAAATTTTTGTGATTAATTAATCTCACATAAGGTAGAGAATTTCCATAAGAGACATGATTCTCTACAAAAAAGAATTGCTTATCTATGCTAACTGCAATTTCGTAGTTGCTCCAAAAACAAGTTTCCTACTGAAAACCCGGTTTCAGCCCCTTTTCCAGTGGAATTCAACCCACAAATCTACCTTTGGTGCATCACCCCATATACTCCTAAACCCTGTTGAGGTGGAAAGACTTCTTCTCTTTATGTCAGACTAACTTTGCTCTACGCTCTGTCACCAACAAATGCTTTACGGTGAAATCACATTAGAGTTAACCGTATAACAAAGGTTAGCTGAGACCAACTTTTACCTTATCAAAAAAAACAAAGGTTAGCTGAGACCTCTATGGAAATCATTGTGGACATCAGGGTTCTAAAGAAGGTGGAAATTCATTGTATTGTCTGCTACTTTGACAATAGACAATTTAAGGAGAAGAAGATGCATGCATGATTGTCAGTTACTATAGTTTTTGAAGCATCACCAAGACGATACTAATCATCTTCTATTATAACAACGACAACGACAACAACAAACCCAGTTTGATCCCATAAATGGGGTCTGGGGAGAGTAGTGTGTACGCAGACCTTACCCTACCTCATAGAGATAGAGAGGCTATTTCCGATAGATCCTCGGCTCAAAGGTGAATTCCGTTGCCGGGACTTGAACCCTGGTCTCTCGGGTGAGAGCTGAGTATCCTGACCAACTAGACTACAACGGAATCTTCTATTATAAACAACTAAAGTAAAACGTGGGGAGGAAAAGAGGGGTGAACTTTTTGAGGCTTTATATGACATAAAACAGTAGAATCGGGCATCTCGTTTATTGTGCTTATCATTTATTGCTATTATTTGTTATGATATTGTGTGGCATAGTGTGTGGATAGGAGAACTGAAGAAACTGGTTGAAGAGGGTAAAATCAAATATATAGGTCTATCTGAGGCTTGTGCAGCAACAATTAGAAGGGCGCATGCAGTGCATCCAATAACAGCTGTTCAGATGGAGTGGTCATTGTGGACCAGAGATCTGGAGGAAGAAATAGTCCCTACTTGCAGGTAATGTGTTTCTTAGATTCCATTCTTTCAGATAATATGAAGGTTTTTCTGAATAAGGCCTTTTTCAGAGAATTAGGAATTGGAATTGTCCCATATAGTCCACTTGGACGAGGATTCTTCTCAGCAGGTCCACAGTTGATTGAGAGCTTGGCCGGCGGCGACTTCCGCAAGGTTGGTTTAGTTAATTTCTAAAAAGGGTCGACCCAGTTCAATACCCACTTCGTGGGTGTCTGGGGAAGGGAATACTCTAGGCCTCCTTACCTCTGCTTTGCAGAGAGGGGGATTCGAACCCACGACCTGACACTCCACGACAAGCAAGCTTATCGCTGAGCCAAGCCGGCCCTTCGGTTTAGTTAATTTCTGTGTCTTTTATATCAAATAAACATCATTTACATCCACTTTAGCTGTGTATCATAGTCATCATTTTGCTTTAAGTTAACGTGTCATTCGCTTTTTGTCAAACTCTCCAAACAAGCTCAGATTTAGCGTCAACTTTGTGACTTTCCTCGCATTAAAGTTTATGGTGATAATGCCTCCTACCGAACCGATATAATGTGTTTCGAAATTATTGAAAAATATACTGGAGATCACAAAAGTTATAATTGGAAATATTAAAAAAAGGTGTTTAAAAGAAGTTGTCGTAAAAAGAAAACAGAGAAATTGTGTGACTCCAATTAGTAAAAGAGTTTTTCCTTTTGGGATGTAAAGAGTACCATATATCACACTTTTATACTTCTAATTTCTTTTCTAAATATTTAAACAAATCGTTCAAAAAGCTGGTTGACTCTGTAGATAATATTGATGCCGTTCTTTTTGTTTGGGAGGGAGTAATATCTAGTCATGCACACGAGTGTATTGCTTGAGCCATTTTGCTCTTAGAGGATATCGTAGTTTGTTAAACTCATTTAGCCATGGATTCATTTTCAAGCTCCAACCATTCAAGCAGATGCAAGACCCTGTTCCAACGTTTGCCAACATATCTTTTTTGCTCAAAATCTCTTCTGATATAGCATGTTATAATTAATAGACAAAACAGACGTAAAATATGGCTGATATACACTGCTTTAACCATTTGTTTTTCCAGAGTATACCAAGGTTCAAGCCTGAGAATTTTGAGCACAACAAGCAAATATTCGAGCAACTCAAGAAAATAGCATCGAGAAAAAGATGCACCACATCACAACTTGCATTGG